GTCCAGGCAACGTTAGGTTGGTGCCATAAACAAGTTGAGCCGGTGTACATCCTAAATCTTCTTTGATAGTAGATCGGATACCAAGTAAAATCAAAGGTAAGTATTCACTCCACTTAGATGTATCAATCATTCTGCGCCATCAGGGAGCTTTTCAGTTGTCTGTGGAATCTTTCCACTAGACCATTCGCTGCCGGATGATAGGCTGTTGTGGAGATATGTTTCACTCCCAGAAGTCTCGTCAGTTCGCGAAAGAGTGTCGATTGGAGTTGAGGACCGCGGTCGGAAGTAATAGTAGTTGGTACGCCGTAGTTTGACACCCAACGGTCGAGAAAAACCAAGGCAACGTTTTCAGCAGATATGTCGTTTAAGGTAGCTATCCTCGAGGCTTTTAGCTTCACCTTGAAAGTCCCTTGTACTAGATAGTGAACTGTCTGAACCCACATCTGCTCCTCTCCTCGACCTTGTGTCCAGTAGGCTTCGTCTCCACTTTCTTAAAATTGAGATGAAGTCTATTTGGTTCTTGGTGTTTCCATCTGGTGAAATCCATGTCGTCTTGTGTATATCCTTGTGTTTGAACACACTACCACCAATCACCAAATCATTGAAGGCGCAGAAGTCTGAGAAGAGTTCACCATTGTCGTTCATTTCGCCGAGGGCCTCACAACCCATGGTGAGTTCTCTTCCTGTGTTGTCTCCTCCCAGCTTCGCATTCATGTCGCCCATCAGGATTTTGATATCACCGTTTGGCACGTTGTCCATTGCTGTTTGCAGTTGTCTGTAGAAAGCCTCCTTCTTCTCTTGTTCTGAGACGTTTATAGACACATAGCACTGAAAGATTGAAACCTTCCTTCCTTTTGAGTTGAACCTGGCTGTCATTATCCTGGAGGAGATTGGTTTCCACTGCATGAGAGCTTTGGCTGCTGTTGGTGACATTATCATGGTCGTCCGCTAGGTGGCCGGAATAGATTACTGTCTCTCCAGTAGGTAGTTGGCACCTTTCAGTTCCGTTCCATCTGCTCTCGCAGATTCCCAACACTTCTATTCTGTACCTTCTCATTTCAGCGGCTATCTGGGCAGCCTTTCCAGTTTCGTACATTGTGCGAACATTCCAGGTACCCATCCTTACTTTTGCTTTCATCGAAAGAAGGCACATTGGCTGACTGGCTTCCCGAAGGCTTTCACCAGCCTGCGTCACTTCACTTCCCCAATTCCAGCGAAAAGTAAGGCTATTGTTTATATTTTCAGAATTTTTAATATATTTATTCTTCGAAGTTTCTGTAGCGATTTGGTTGTTTTAGGGGGGTGGAGTTGTTAGCACCACGCCCCAACCCTCCCTCTTTATCCGGGCTTGGGACCGGCTAGAAAACCAGGAAGCTAGTAATCTGGTGAGGTTTAGGTAGATTTTCGGACACATAAATTCAAAAGTTAAGGTCAGCGCAGTTTATTTGTGAATCTGAAAGTCCTAAAAGGGAAGCTAAGCGAATGTATCTAGATCAGTTTGAATAAGGCATTAAGAAGATGGTGTAGCTATGGGCAGTCCACTTAGCCCTGTTTTAGCAGGTATATTCATGTCTAACCTTGAAAGAACAAAGCTGAAGCATGCAATCGACGAAACATCTTCCTACTGTCGTTATGTTGATGACACATTTATAGTGTGCAAAAATAAAAGTCATGCTTCACACTTACTAAGATTATTCAATGGTGCACACGCCAATATTGACTTCACTATGGAACACGAAAGTGACGGAAAGTTTCACTTCCTCGACACAGCCATGGAACGCCTAGAAGATGGTAGTCTTCAAAAGTCAATTTATCGAAAGTCCACATGGAAAGGACAATACTTGCATTTTAATAGCTTTTGTCCACATAGCTTTAAACGTGGTCAAAAATTTGTACTATAGAGCGAGGAGAATATGCTCTACAGAGAAACTAGAGGAGGAGTTTGAGTTTCTTGAAAATATATTGAAGAGAAATGGGTATCCTCAAAGGTTCATCAACAAGTATGGAAGATCTGAAGTCACAAAAGTAAAACAAATCACAGTGGAAAAAAGCCAGTCTACCTTCAGCTTGATTTTAAAGGTGAAAATATTGCAGCGATGATCAACAGAAGGCTGAGTACATCACTAGCCATAGCGCATCCTGCAGCTAAGCTCGTTCCCGTCTATCGAACAACTTGCTCTTTGGTGCAATCAAAAATCGATAGATATCCTTCTCATGTTACCTCCAACTGTGTATACAAATTTACATGTATCTGCGGGAGCAGTTACATTGGAAGGACAGAAAGAAGGGCATATCTACGATTTTCTGAACATGTACCAAAAAGCTTACGTCTAAAGGGAACAAATGCTTTAAACAGTGCCATCACCAGGCATCTTCTCGACACGGGTCATGAGGTGGACGTTGAAAAGTCGTTCAAAATTATCAATAAGCAAAACAGCTCAATTCTCCTTTTGTTTGCTGAAGCCGTTTCCATCAAGCGCATGAAACCTGATTTATGCGTCCAGAAAGAAGCGGTTATCAGTCTTTCTTTGCTCTGGTAACTGGATAATTTCACCTCTCTTTCCTCCGAATGTGAAATGCTAAAAGTTTCCATTGTGTTTGATTATTATTGTTCGGAATAGTGGTTAATATTGCATATTTATATATGTATATATTTTTAGTGTATGAGTATATTGATCGATTGATTTTTGTTTAAACTGAACTCTGTGCAAGTATGTTAAAATTGTTGTTGTAGATATATTTAATAATGCCTTTGCCATGTAAGCAGCTGACGAGAAGGCAACGAAATAAAAGATGGTACCATTTTATTCTGCTAAAACTGTAGTTCTTGCTTTGTTCAAATTCATTAAGGGGAATAAATGTATGAAAGACAAATTTCGCGAGATGATATCATTTCGTAGTCTCTTTATTACCGCTTTACAACTAACATGGTTAACAATAGCAAAATAAAGTTCATGACAATTACTCAGTTAAATAAAAAACAGAGGTACATACTAATGACCAATCATATTTAAATAGGTCATGTTGTCCATGGTAGGCGAAGATTGAAGTCTACTGATTTTTGTATACACAGTTTGGGCTGTATGTGATTTATCCAAAGTGCTTCCATCATCTTCAATAACTTTGAATTAGAGTTATGTGGTGAAATAATTGTGAAACAGTCATTAATATTGATTTTGTGACCTGACATTAATAAGTGTTTTGCAATGGATGATGCTGGATTTCTACTCAGATTAATTGCATTGGGATTTTCTGTATGTTTTAGTAGCCATTTTGGAACATGTTCTTTTCAACGACATTGGAACATTCTGTTGGTTCCACCTACATAGGTGTCACTGTAGCTGCAGGTGAACTTGTAGATACAGTTTGAAGTAGAGTCCACAAAATTTCGTCCTTTAATCGTAGGTACAGGGATCGAAAATGTTCGGCAAGTATATAGATCAATTTTGGCTACGGTGAAGGTAGTTTCCTGGTTCACCAGTGTCCTCCGGACGGCGACTCCGTGCAACTTATGCGAGCTTATTGACTCAAATAGTCTCAATGTTCCTATACCCACTAGTTATGCTGAAGAGCTGATACTGGGGTTCACGTTAAATGTTCAGTTTTTATTTAGCAGTTAAATATACCTACAGAATGACGGAAAGGTAACAGGTGATCCACCTAGTCAAATACTAACAGGTTACTTGATAGTGGCATTTTAGCCAAGTGACCTAAAATCCATCAGTCAAGAGTATACACGTGAAATATGAATGCTAAATTTATCGTCAACGATAAAAATACTGAGCTAAACGAATTCTGTAAATCTTTAACAACGCACATGAATCAGTCTAACTAAAAGCTGAATCCTTCTTAGATGTTCAACTTTCAGATCTATGCAAAGAGCAGTTTGCCGTAAACCAAAATGGAATGCATAAATGACAGATTCCTACTGAAACCTTACGACAAGCATAGAAACAAATGTCATCCTCAATGATGCAATAAAACTGTAGTAATTTATTGTAATAGGAATATTAGTATTTCGAGATGACGGAATTACACGAATCCAACCAAAACTCAGAGAGGGCAGCAATCAGGAATTTGTATTTAGCGGAATTATTATGCAATTCATATAAGAAACATATCAACAGTCAACAGTAAGTATTTTAAACAATACAGAGAGAAATTGTCAATCACCACAAAAACCTAACCGATTTTGTACTACATACAGATTGAATGAAGGAATAGGAATTCCTTGGAAACACTCTAATCGAAAATAGGTAACCAGCCTCCTTCATGGATAAACATTCAAACAGAAAACTAATGCTCCATGAAAGCTGAGTTTTCCGAGGAAACAACTGATTGAAAGTGTGAAATTCAAGAAATTTACAATTAGTCTTCTCTGAAGCTGTCTGTTGAGAGCATTTTGAAGAACATTCATTGTCGCATTGCTGCACCCCATCTTCTCCACACATACTCTTGTTTCTCAAAACATTAAAAGCAAGATTCCACTGGTGGCAACTTTATCGAGTATTTCCTAGTTAACTAGCCCATGTGGAGTGAAATATTTGGGGCATACCAGGCTTAGTTCCAAATGATTATTCCTCACTTTACTAATCTTGATGTGACCTTTCTCGATTATGTAAAAGGCTGCTTTTCACTCCTCGAATTGTCTTTGACACTAAATGACCATAACCTCTACGTTTTATTGACCTAAATAGCTGCACAGCTTTGTACAGAAGTCATGAAAGGAAGAGATTAGAATTTCTGACTTATGTATTGTTAAAAACAATAATCCTTAGTCTATGATGCAAGCGAAATATTACCAACTAACAGAATATGCTTCCAAATGACATGAATGGCTAAGTGTCCTGTCGAAAAGTGTATGCTTTCAGCTTATCTATACAAATTACCAACAAATTTTGACATCAGCCAATAGCATCAGAATATCTGTGAGTACTTGATGATGATTGGCTACGAAGTCTATTTCATCTAATGCTTAAAATACTGACTTCATAACGTGGAGTAAATGATGCCTATGAACGGTGTGCTACTCTTATTCGCCTTACTGTTTAGCTGTTCAACCCAAACTCTGGCATTAATTCCTAAACCAACAAACTATGCAAAAACTACTACGGCTTGTAATCTACCCTTGGATACTAAATTTCAACATGACTATCCATCGTGTTATATATTGACAAGTTGTTTGAGGAGATTTGAGTCACGGTTAATAACAAAGCATATGCCTATGCCTGAAGTAAACTCAGACGATTGCATTATAGACAGTATAAAAATTGAGATAAGGAATGGTTGTGATGAAAGTGAGTATGGCGTTTGGCCTAGTGAGTCAATGGATGAATCCTGTAAGCATCATCATGAAACACTGACTAACCTACTTGGTTTTGTAGATATTGTTAGCATACTCGAAGGTGAAATTAAGATAAACTCGAATGAAATATGGGGTACTATGCGTGCATTGGAAACTATTCTTCAACTGATATATACAAATAATTTCGGTGAGGTAAGTTCTGTTTTACCTATAAGTCCTCAACTTCAACTAACTGTGTTTTTAGAACATTATATTCAACGGCCTCATAGAAGATAATCCCAAATACTCGTACAGGGGATTGTTAGTGAACACAGCGAAATACTTTATACCTATAGATACTTTAAGAAGAACTATAGTGAGTACTACTTCAATACTCAATAATGTGTTTTAGGATACTATGGCAATGGTAAAGATGAATGTTCTACACTGGCATATTACAGATGATGAGTCATTCCCCTATGTTTCATCTGTATATCCTGAACTTTCAGAGAAGGTAATTAGAGCAACTGACACTGATTATCTTCTTGTTGACAGGGTGCTTTTCATCCACAAACCTGTACATACAATGAATTAGATATCACAAGTCTGTTAGAATATGCTCGTTTACGTGGAGTTCGTGTTATTCCAGAGCTTGACACACCAGGTGAGTGAATGTAACTGCTTTTACTTGAATCAATCGGTAACTACTTTTATACTTGTGAATTAGTAATTTCAGATTATTTTTTAATTGTTAAATGTCAAAGTTGATTTGATGATAATACACCGTACGGTAAATACTGTTGATAGGTACAAACAGTTGTCGAAGCCTGCTAGTTTGATTAAGGTCAATTTGATTATCGGGACATGAGAATTTAGCTAGAGATAGCATGATTGATGCTGTTAAGTTAAATAGTCTGGTAAAAATAACTCAGCCAGGGAAGTGCATTCACTCTCATGGGAATGCAAAATAGGGTGGAATAAGGTGTTAGATAGAGAGAGAAAGAGGCTCATCACTGAAGTTGTGTTCGTGGAGTCAATAGCAGGAATGTGCAGTCTAAATGACGCAACGCCTTTACCGAATACATGCTAAATTATAATAAAAAGGTTGAGAGTGAAATTATATAAAGTTATCAAGTTTTATGAATATATGGATATGATTAGCAGCTGGAAACATTATGCTGTAATAAATACTATTCACTACCTTCATTTTGCTGACGTGTTACTAACGAAACTAAAGGGATAGATGATAACACCTGGAACTCACAACCTGACTACTAAGTACACAGATCTACCCAAGCGAGCTTGGAGACCCTCCACCCATTCGAAACTCACATGGTACATGGGCTCCAGAATTCAAACCTATCGAAAGGCATGTGAAAGCATTCTGATCGCGAACAACCTTAGAACGCAATTCTTCTGGTGTCTTATGGATTAGACTTCGAGTCAAACGTTCAGGGAATCGGTCCTCCTAACAACACAATCACCTCCTTCAGTCTGTATGATTGAGCAGGCTCCGATCCCTAATACAAACTATGGCAGTCTGTGTGACTCATCTCGTGACATCTACAAAACACCACGTTTTTATGCTAAATAAAAATATTAGTAATAATAAATGCTGCGACTAGGTTTCTGTAATTGGCAGGCAAGTGTAATTTGTGTTTTTCTAATTGGCTGAATCAAGGAACTGACGCCAAGGTTATGTATATTGAGTGAAAATTAATGAACATCCAATTAGATAAAAACATTTCTACCAACTGATATCGAAGCTATTGAATAGTATTAGTCACCTCTTGTGTCTCAAATGGGATAGGCAGCCGAAATGGCGTTGTACTACATTTTCTAAAATTCATTCTCCTTCGGCTCCATGACTGCCACCACCCCTTTATTTATTCCCTTAATGATCTCTATGTCTCCATCGGCCTCACGCCCAAGTCGCAATTTCCATTCAGATTCCAACTGTTTGCTTGACGCTTGATCTCACAGAGAGATCTCTTCAGGTTTTTTTACCATTCCTCTAATTCCTTCAGCCTATAGGCTTTTCCTTAGCTGGTTCGGTGTACTGTATTTCCGTATTCCATATTTTGGTGCATATTTGTTTTTGTTCCATAACAAGAATAACTCAGTGATTCATGATGGTGTTTAACACTAATGACAGTGATCTCAAGCATAAAACAAGTGGAACGTATATCCAGTGTTTACATCTCCGGCTGTTTCCAGTCACTCACTGTAATTGCCAAATTCAGGCACTGTGGTGAAATATAGTTCTATGCTAGGCAAGTTTATAGCACAGTGATATAGTATTATCATTTAAAACTCAGTGTTGGCCCATTACGAATGCCAGGAGATGCACCATTCAAACTGTCAGTGATCCGAGCCTGCTCAATCATATAGACTGAAGGAGGTGATTGTGTTGTTAGGAGGACCGATTCCCTGAACGTTTGACTCGAAGTCTGATCCATAAGACACCAGAAGAATTGCGTTCTAAGGTTGTTCGCGATCAGAATGCTTTCACATGCCTTTCGATAGGTTTGAATTCTGGAGCCCATGTACCATGTGAGTTTCGAATGGGTGGAGGGTCTCCAAGCTCGCTTGGGTAGATCTGTGTACTCAGTAGTCAGGTTGTGAGTTCCAGGTGTTGTCATCAATCCCTTCGTTTTTGTGACTAACATCCTCACCGTGTGAGGCTACGAACGGGTGGCTCCATGACAGTAACTGAAATCTACCAACCGTTGACCTGGATACTTACGTCACAGCATTTGGTATAAAATTTAACAAAGTTCCTTTGCCTATAATACTTCATGGTATTAGTGATGTCAGTCAACTTTGTTCTATTCTGCTGATCTAATCAGAAGTGAAATTTTTCTTTTTATCCCTAATTGCAGGACATACACTTTCCTGGGGAAAAGCATACCCACATCTGCTCACAGAATGTTTTGATAAGTCTGAACCAGATGGAAATTTCGGTCCTATGAATCCAGCTAGACAATTCACCTATGACTTTTTAGAGAATATTTACAAGGAAGTCATTCTCAGATTTCCCGATGGTTACATTCATCTAGGTGGTAATGATATCTATCTACACTGTTGGTGCGTTTCTGTTAACCTTTATAGATATTTTTTTAAAGAAATTCTATAAAAATGGCTTCATGTTGACAAAGGTGAAAACACAGACCTTTGTCAGAAAGAGTGAGTGTTACAGTGAAATTGTCTCTAGTTTTTTGATTTCCTGTTGACATATGTGTGAATGAAATTAATTAGCATCATCTGCGTATATGGTTCGCTCATTCCGATGAATCGACAATCACACGACTGACAGGTCAAAACCGCTTGTTCAGTGGTGACTTACAGTTAGATATAAGATGTGGCTTTCACCTCATTTGCTTCATATCATCTGCATGTACTAGCTTGTCAGTGAGTGATGGTATCACCACTGGAGCTCAAACGCAAAAGCATTATCCACTCCTGTTGACATGGGTCTGGAGTTGAACACAGACAGGGCTTCGACAGCGCATTTCCACTGCGTTGTGTTTCCTTCAGTCTTATTAAGGTGACTCCACGTTAGCCGAATGGCCGTCATGTCCTCATTACACGATTTCCCCCATGTCACACATAGACCTACGCCCAAAGTCAGGTCATTAAAATAATTCGGTAACTATTACTTTATGTGAACTGAGAAGATAGTCTAGTGACGAAACTCCAGTGGGACCCGGAATGGATATGGTAAGATAGGCATCCGAGTATAAACTGGAGGAAATCGTCTGAGGCGGATATGACAGTCTTCGGGCACTTCCGGCGCTAGCTAAAGATAGCTGCAGAAAACTAGATGATATAAAGTTTCAGAGCCCAAAGGAGTAAGAATACCAGTGTTTCTTTTTAAGAAGAGAAAACTGAACACTGATTGATTCTACTCTCTGCAGTTATGATAAGTACACTTACTCAAACACCTAACATAATTAACTTTATGGCATTAAAAACACAACAATGTTTCTTCTTATTTTCAGGAAGTCGAATCCAGAAATAATTGAATTCATGTCAGCAATGCAATTCGGTAATGATTATTACAAATTAGAAGCGTATTATATGGAAAATCTTGTACAGATTGTTTTGAATGCAACAAATCCTGAACCCACAACTACACCAATTATATATCAAGAGATATTTGAACATGGATTTAACGTGAGTGAAATGAATTGCTCTGATTTGTTGAAAAACCCATAAATATTATTACTGTCCTCTTGAATTCCCAGTGGAACACAGAGCTTCGACAGCACATCATTTCATCTTGTTCTCTGATGTCTTTCTCGGCTGCCTTCCCAACTGCCCATAAGCCTTCATATCGCTCCCAGATGATCTTCTTCATGCTATTCTTGAACTACCCAACTCGTGTCCTTACACCCACGTTCCACCTGAGGACCTGGTATGTAATGCCACTCAGCGTTCTTCTCAGTGAGTTTTCTATCCAACGCCACTTTTTACTGCATGTTTGTTGAGCAGCAGGTTCTTGGTTAGTTCTTTTCCAGAGTTTCTTGATGCCAATCCTTTCTGGCTAATTAACTTTCAGTAGTGAGAGAAGATAGCTGACTGATTCTTTACATTCAATTGTCAACAGCTAAGCTGAGATCATGCTTAGATAAATATACCTTATTATAACTGATATTCATTAACATAATTCTTAAATGGAGACCAGTGGTGTTAATACATTAGACAGTGCACACTGCGTTTCATCTGTTAGTGTTTGACAAAGTGTAGTGAAATTTCATCGTAAAATTTTGTGGAAAATTGCAGCAGTTCAAGCTACCTCATTTCATAAAAGCATACGTAAATTCCATATTAATTTGTTTATAGGATATATCACATAGGGAAATAGTATTATTTACCGGATTACATTTCAGACACAATTTTTTGTTCATAATCATAAGGTAGTAGAATTTTCACGATATCCGGGACAGGTGTTGAATCATTTCCATTGTACTCATTTCCAGTTTATTCTGAAAATAAACCTCCCATTGTCAATGTCTTCCTCCACCCTGTTATTTTTAGAGTATAAGACTGTCGTCTTATTCCATCGTGCTGTGTGATTGTGAGTAAATGCATGTAGTGCAAGAGGGAAGGTATTCACAAGATTTTTTTATCTCATGATAGTCAACTAATCTAGATTATGCTGCGTGCGTTGGTGGCACAGTGGTTACGACTCTCGCCGACCATGCACGTGGTCCGGGGTTCGAGCCCTCGCCGGTGCACACCTGATATCTATGGTCGGCCTGCGAATTTTGGGCTACCGATATCCACGCTGAAAATTCCATACTTGTACCAAAAATACAGTGTGGAATCAAGCTGTAATCAAAAATAAAAAAATAAAAATAAAATAAAATACGTTGTTATACTGTGTTAATAAAGGAAGCTTTAATTATTGAATCAGCTGAAATTAGAAGCGGCAGGGATGATTCGACACCTGTTTTGGACATCCAGAAAATTCTACCACTCCTAAGACGAATGGGATAAAATAAACAGAACTATAAGTCTCAGGTTTCGAAGCTATATGGTTACAATTGACATGCTCATGAACAATAAATAGTCCCTGAATTGTCTCCGAGTAAATAAAACCGACATCAAAATGATATCATAATAATCTCTAGACATCATTGAACTGTCTATACTTGAGGCCAGCACGTCAACAAGTACCCAACATTTCAGTCCAATGAGATGACTGAATGGAAAATACTGAATATTATGCAGTAACACAAACCCATGGCATTTTATCCTTCATTCTTTATTACGTTTTATCTAGAATAATTGACTCTGTCGTAGTTCATTCAGAAAACTTTGTAATAACAAGAATCGGACTCAATTTCTCACAGTTCATCACATATACTTCAACCATCCTTCTCAGAAAATTACACTTTACGAGTCTTTCTCTGTACTTATGATACTTATTGAGCACCTTTAACAATCGCTAACTATCTGAAGTACATTGAAAGGCTTAGGGAGGCGAGAACTTCTGTGAAGTTTGAAAATTGAAGACAAAAGTTTTCAGATAGCAGACAGAATAAGAAACCAACTTAAAAAGATTCAGGTTTCTTAGAAAATCTACGTATTTTATTCTCACTAAATTAACTGACATTTTCAACTCTCAGCTTTAAATCTGTAGTCGCGAACGCGACACTTCTAGGAGTACTGAGACTTTGAATATGTTCTTCATATTTCTGTGTAATCTTACACTAAGCATTACCGACAAATGCACCCTCCATTTGAAGTTCTCCTTGAACACCTTTTCTCATATCATAGGGTGATAACAATACAATAATTCATGCATGGATCACAGAAAATTGGAAATCTGTAGCAAAGAAAGCCACTGAAAAAGGGTATAGGGTGATTGTTTCCGGTGCTTGGAATCTTAATTCTCTGGTATACGAAGGTGACTGGGTATGGTATTATAAACAGGATATCAGGGATTTTCAAGGTAAGTGCCACCTGAAGTCGTATAAAGTAAGTAATAATTTCAAGTAGTATTTTCTGGTTATTTGTATGCATTGTGAAAGACCAAGTGTGATCTAGTTCTCGTGTTCCATATTATTAATAATAATAGACAACGTCTAATGTTCAACCTAAGGAAGTGGGGTTTTCAGCCTTCTATATTTGATGTCAAATTTTCATACATAAGTTAGGTGGCATCAAGAGAAGTTACATAGTAATATTGATAATGCGGTATTTGCCTCTGATGATTATCGTGAATCTCCATCATCAATCTCATCTAGTAACTATACGATGGCGTCAAATGCCAAGTAATTCACTGTGGAAAGCCAAGAGAATCTTTTGAGATGAAGACATAAGTAATAAAAGACTGCCTACTATCAGGAAACGATATTCCTGATTGTAGTGGACTTAAGCGTGCGAGGAACCGGAGGGACCGATATGACTGGCATAAACTGAACCGAAGAAAGACTCAAGAAGATCTGAACTTAGCAGATGATTTAGGTTCAATGTCACACAAGTTGGCATAAGAAGCAGAGATGACAGGACTTCAGTAAACATAGAAAGGTGATAAAAATATCTAACCAACAAGAACAACAAATAGAAGCATTAATCACTGTCAATAGGAAAAGTTTGAAGGAAGTAACCACTTTCATTGAAGTGTCGGTTGTTGAGTGGTAGAATACCCGCCAACCACTCACGTTGTCGGGCGTTCAATCCATGGCCAATGCACACCTTAACCTCATTAAAGTGGGAACAATTGGTGTAAAATTAGCTACCCTACTTCGTGAAAGAAGAATCGCAACAATGCCACTGAAACTTTAGAGCTCAAGCTTGAAGCCAGATGTTCGACTCGGAACGCAAGGGAATAAAAGCAAATCCACTTTTACTTATCTATGCAGTATCGTTCCAGCTACAGGTGGAATGGATGAACGTGTCAAAGACAGAATTGAAAATTTAAGATGGACATCCATTATTCTGAAATCAGTGTGGAAGTCCACTGCACTCAACATGAAGAAAGAAATTGGGATTTTTAACACTAATTTCTATTCATTACCTCTATATGGTTCAAATACTTGGCGCGTCACGAAAACCGTCTTAGAAAATCTCAGCGGAATTTTACTAACAGCTACCATCGCTCTATGCTGAAGATCTAATTAGCAACAAGAAATAATGGTGATGAGTTAACCAGGACCGAAATGCCCAACAGATATGTAGGATAAATTGGGGATGAATCAGGCACACACTATGGAGACGATTGAGTAATATCACGTATGACGCCTTTGGGTGGAACAGCTATGGGAAACAGTGTATTCAGACGTCCGAGAGTAACATGGAAGAGATTCTTTGAGGAGTATTGCTCCTGACATAATAGAAAGTTATTGGGACATCCGGAGTCCAAACAAAGACAAATGCAGTGAACATGGGGAATGTAGACATCCCTATGAATCCTATGTTCCACTTGGAATCGAGAGAAATAATAACTAAATATACATGTGTTAATGACGAGAAGTTTTGTTAATATATTGTATATGATGTCTTCTGCAAAACGTTTGAGTACCGGAGAAACGGAATAAGTTTAAAAAAGGAGAAATGAAGATGGTTGTGAAACAACATGTATGGGAGGCATGAAATGAAGACAATAGAACGGAAATAGAAGAAATTGTTCAAATTGAAGTCTCAGAGTAAGGTTTTCATACAAGTTTGGATCATTGCCTGGCACAGGATATTTCTTATGGGATACTAAATTTCAGCCGTGATAACAGTCCATGAAAATCACTAACCATTGGTAAGTTAAGCCTTAATATCACTCACCTGCCACTTAAATTAGAATTTCAATGCAAACTCGGTTAAACTTAGTACTCGGTATTCAATTAAAGGATGATAACAATATAGACTTTGCAGTGAGCTGGTCTCAGTCTGTCCGCGGAATTGTTTTTAAATGCTGAGAGACTGCTAATTCACAAACATGGTCTTCTTTATTATGTCATTTAAAGGTTCACCTGAACAAATGGAATTAGTGATCGGTGGTGAAGCTGCCGTATGGAGTAAATATGTCGATGAAACAAATTTAATATCTCTAGCCTGGTGAGAATATTTTACAAAACAATTTCTCTGTTTACTCACTGAATTCTGTATACATACATTGTTACTATTAGTATTAGTCCATTGAGTTCCAAGTGGGATAAGCGGCTTTGGAGCGTCGGTGGTACAGTGGTTAGGACTCTGGCCGACCACAAACATGGTCCAAGGTTAGATCCCCTGCCGACGCACACCTGATATCTATGGTTGGCCTGCAAAATTTGGGCTACCAATATCACATGCTGAAAATTCCATACTTGTACCAAAAATTACTGTGTGGAATCAAGCTGTAATAAAAAAATCTCCATCGTATCCTCCTCATCAGCAAATTTTCCAGCCAGAACCACGTCTTCTCGCAAGCTTTTAAATCCTCTTTGCATAGTCCTTATACCTCATTCTCAAAAGCCCATCTAGCCGCCTACTCTGAGTGTTCAATTCGAAGGTTTTTGAATGGAGTCACTCAACGGTCTCTTTGATGCATGTCCACTCCACCTCTATTATCTTCTGCATACTGGCTTATTTGTTGGTTGGCTGCTTGAGTTCCTTGTTGCTTAACATTTCTGACTAGCCACCTGGTTTTCATTATCCGGTGTAATACAATACGTGATGCAGAATAATGAAATCTAAGATGGAAACTTGGATGAAATGAGGATTCGAAGGCCGTTCCCCTGAAATCAACTTTCATGAACTTTTGTAGATATGCTGACATTATATCCTCTGTATACAATTTATTAACTAAACAAATTATCCCTTTTAATGTACCCACTGAAATAAATTCAATGCAGGTCAGATGGATTTAATGAGCGAATGGGTTTCAAGTTATGATTTACTTATCTCCCTGTTGCAGTAATCCGAACGAATAAAAATCATGAAGATGCTCGTTTGATAGTGACTAGCAGGAGAATCCATGAAATGTGTTCCGTCTTATTTTGGACTTGTTAACCTAGATGTATTACTTTAATAAGACTCGAATTCAACATCGAATTAACTAGGCTACTGGGCCAACAGCGCTGCTTCGTGTCCATCGAGTATTGTCTGAAATGATATGCCTGTGATCGAATTGTCTGGCAAAAGAAGCTAGTGTGGCACTTTATCATTTAAAAAATACTTCATATATTCATATGCCAAATCTGCATCACGTAAATTGCAGACGAAAAAAAATTCGATGATAGAGAATAAGCTGCCAGTCAAAATAATTTCACCTTATTTCTTTATTAAGTCATGGTATAGATTATACTAATAAACCTCAGCTTACACCGGTATTGATATTCAACATTGGTCATCGATAGTCACTGTTTTAGTGGAACTATTTTCGCTCATAATTGTGGTAAGTTAGGTTCCCCTTGCGCGATCATTAAAAGCGGTAGGTATGTGCCTCTTTCTGAAAACAACTACTTGTTCTACATCAGAGAATCTCTGACCCTTCTTTTTGTTGTTAGCCCTGCTTAGTCTGACGTTATTTAAGTACAATTAGGTTAATAAATGACTGTGGTGTAGATCAATTACCCTGTCGATTTACCCTCTTTTCCATTGTTTATACTGATAAACACGTATGTCCTAGTTCGAGCGTTTCCATCATCACATACCCATGATTATAATGAGGACAAAAAACAGGACATTTAGATTATGAGGTAAGCTGGCTGACCATTCACCCACTCAGATGTACTCGAGGGAATTTTGGATTCTGACTTCTACTGACTTTCAGTGTACAGTACCAGCCGTCGTTGGTTACAGTAAAATTCACGGGTAGCTTTGTTCTCCTTAGCGTCTGAAGGGTCAACTGAGTCGTTTCGTGACCTAAACGACATGCATTCCACTCCTTTAGGGGTCACGGGTACATAGTGCCAAAGAGGCCCAAACTAGGCCGAAACAGCTTCCCAATACTTCCTGGTTTATACTGTTCATTTAACTGAAGTCTTTTTATGATGTTATGTGTAATCGATCAAATACTTTTAAACCAACACTTCGAAATCATGATAACATTCATTCTATCGTGACTTAATGGATAAGTGCATAATTGTGTTAATTAACGTTATTTAAAGGCACTTCTGTGAGACAGCGTTATCCCCTTGCCTTCACCTCCCAAGTTTTTCCGGATTTCTTGACTCAGATCTACTAAAGTTTGTTCATAAACGGTACGTAGGCAGTTTCGTTACTATGACGACTGAATATCATAGTGTCGCTTCACTAACCGAGTATTTCCTTCTAATATTCTGTCCTCATAAATCAATTCCAACAGGACTGAATAAATTGTCTGGAGAATGAACGTGTATGGAGATAAAAATTCAAGTTGTAATCTGCATATTTCTACTGAAAAAAACTTGATCTAATTGTAATCAAATGTCAATTTTAGCCATTCCCTCTCTCAGTCTTATTAATTTTCCTTTAATTTATTGAAAAAATCAAGGCCAAGAGGAGCTGCTATAGCTGAACGTCTTTGGTCAGAAGATATTGGAGATGTACAGGATTTTCGTCAACGATTAAGTGAACTTCAGTGTAGAATGCTTAGGTGAGTCTTGTGTTTAATCAAGATTTTCTGTGCATTTATTTGAAAAGTTACACTGTCACATTTGCCTTTAGTACATTATAATTTTTTATGTCTTCTAATGTTAAATAATTTGCAGAAATGTCCTAAAATATACTTCTCCTCACTACGCATTCATACTTGTAATCTTCCTGTTTATGTATTTGGAATGGATTCATCAAAAACACAAATAGACAAACACCTTGGATGGATACGTTCATATTATCATGATTATTAACTTGAATTTACTCGTTTGGTGATGGCGAACACGGAGATCCAGGACAAATGTAAATAAGCAATATCTGTTATCAAGGAGTGACTTTCGTAGCCTAGAGGATAATGACTTGAAGGTATTTGAAGGTACAATTAATCAATATGAGTCTCAATAAGAACACCACCACCACCTCCCTGTTGACTTTGAATCCTAGATCATAAGGTGATCGTCCAGAAAACACATCGTGGAAACACTAAGAATGTGAGGTATACCTTAACACCAGGTCCTCAGATCAATTTTCACTTAACAGATAGACTGATGTAAATCAAATTCATTAACTAATAAAAAAAATAAGAATTAGTTAGAGTTACTGTTTATGTCATTAAAATGTTTATAAAATGTGATGAATAATCAAAATTGTCACTAGACTGGGAGGGGGGGTTGAAGATTGGTAAGTATTGGCAATGATTGCGTAATATCAAATATGATGTTAATGGAGATGCATATCCAAAAGAGTCAAACTATGCAATATGTAGAAAAAGTAAATAAAGGGTTGGTTAAGAAGCAGATGTTACTGAAATGCCATAGAAAAATTCGAAAGACAAAAAAGATAACAAAACATTAGTAACAAAGTCGTAGAACTTGGAATTATACCCAAGCTAGAAGAAGGGGATGAAGAAGCTTCTTCTGCGTGAATAAGTCGGGGTTTTCTATTTGGATCGCTAAGGACTCAGAAATGCAAAGGATTCGGAAGCTTACCGTTTTCGGGAGGCTTCTTTTGACTTTGAAGATGACTTTGAATGAATTCTCCGTGCACACTGAGTGGTTTCTGTTGACTACATGTTCATTCATAGCACTCTCTAATGATCCACTGTTACCTTCTTGTAGTCAATCAGAATAATGTTCTTTGACTCTTTCGGATAAAACATGCATCGAACGACCTATATATCTGTTTATAATCCCATAAATCCTTTTTGTTAGTCAGGCGTCCAGAAATGAGATTGGGTATTGGGTTTCTGCTTCAATTGTTAATTTGATGGCTGGGTAGAAACTATTAAAACTTGAAGGACATAATCCAGGTCACATTTATTATCACAGATGATAAAAGTGTCAAAGACGTACAGAGAGAAGTTGTCGATTGTCGATTTCAACAGACCATTTTCCAAACTTACCATGAAAATATCTGCAGGTAACGGGCCTAAAGGTTAACCCATAGCCATAAAATCTTGCTGTCTATAAATAGTACCATTGGATGTGAATTGACCATTCAAAGTGCATCTAAGTAGAATTTCTTTTCAGGTCATTCTCTTTCAAGTACTTGCATAAGAAACAAGTCGTTTCCATAATCGGGATATTTGTGAAGAGAGATTCTACATAGAGTGATATCATGCAGTTGTCACCCACTTTCACATCTTTTATACAGTTGACGAATTCAAATGTGTCTTGAAGAGATTATTTTGGAATTTGTTCTCTAACAGGCTGTAGTAGTTCTGCCAGACATTTTGCAATTGGATGGTCCGGAGATCCGGACATGTCCGAAATAGGGTGCAACGGAAGTCCCTGTTTGTGGGTTTCAGGTAAGCCATATAGTTGGAGTATTATGGAATCGGTTGGTCGAATGCTGTCGTAGACCTTTTTAGAGATAAGTTGATCACTTTTCAGCTTTCTCAATATCCCAGTGAGTTGCGTTTCTCTTATTTCTGTTTTGGCTTCCTCTTTATCAGGTGCAGTGAACTTGTTGTTGTCTGAAAGAATTTCTAACATTTTATCAATATAGTGCTTTCTATCCATTAGACGAAAATCTCAGAAAGGTTGTATCACAGGTTAATGAAATGATCAATGTAAAGACAAACTAACATGAAGATAATACAACCTTGTGAAAACAGTCATTCACACCCAAATACTTTGGGAAAGACAATTTTATCATTCAAGAAGAATTCATACAAAAACACACTTCACTTTGAAGTAACCTCAGAAGACATTATCAAGAAGTATAATAAAAACTTCATAGTTGAACTATTTAGTCCAGACAACATAATCACATCAAAGCAAGACGTAATGTTTTTCGAAATAGTTTTTCCTGACTACAGCTTATTTAACAGAACGTTGTAGCCCATGGTAAGAGAGGCAATTAGAAGTAGTTAAAGTATATCAGGTTGCTAAATATCACCGATAAGAAGCTACACTATTTGGTTTCTGGTTTATTGGTATTCGTCAGCAGGACGTATCTTTTAAATTGGAGGTACTAATGTTGCGTCATAGATTCATACTTATTCCACCCAGTGTCACATTGTGATATATCGTTATCGTGACTATCACCGCAGATGATAAAGATGCAATCCACATATCTAGCATACAACTAAAAATTATCAATGGTAAACTTAAGTTAGCCATTCTCGAGGCTTTCCATGAAGCAGTCTACTAACAGTGGACCTAAAGGAGGTATTATTATAATCCCACCTTTGTTTCTTTAAACAACGTCATTGAATGTGAACTGCGCATTAAGCGTATATTACAGTAGTAGTTATTTTAAACGAACTGTTGGTAATCCAATATTCTGCTGACTTTCGTCTTTATATTGACAAATATGACAGAAAATTTTTCGTGAATGGAAAGTCAACAACACATGTCTACTCAATTAGTTCTATTTTCTGCCATCCTCTTCAGCTGGTTAGCTCTACGAATGCACATATTCTCTCACATCCTCCTCGACACATGACCTCCCAAAGTCACTCTCGCACCGACGACCCACTCCTCCCTTCTCATTGAGATTCCAATCGAGCAATGTCCTGAAGCACAACGTTATTTGACGGTCTCCTCAATGAATTCCCGATCGATCTCCATTTTCTCCTTCATATTTGTTGAGCAGTCGGCTCTTGGTTGATTCGTTCATCGTCAGAGTTTATTATTACTAATCCATTCTGGCCATTTCATCTTCAATATGAATCAAAGGCACTTGTTCATAAAAGTCTGCAACCTCTTGGAAATACTCTTCATTACACGCCAAGTCTCCGACTTTTATAGAAGAACTGACTGACTTGACATTGGTACTGAAAATGCCAAACTTGTTTATTATGCTGAATGAATGGAGTGCAGAAGATCTGCAAACTGCCTTCTGATTGATGAATGTGTATTTTGCCTTTGCAATTTGGCCAGCTTTGACACTTTCACCCATTCCGTCAGGTGTAGCTGAAACCGTGCTTCCTAGATGAGTGAAGGATGTAACCTTTGTCAAATAAATTCCATCAATGGTGATTGATGCTGGTTGTTGTTGTTGTTTTTGCTGCTACTGTTCGTCGGTCATCCTAATCACCTTCGTCTTCTCTAAGCTCACCTGCAGTCCTATCTTCTCTGACAGACGACATCTTCTGCCAGTTTGTTGCTTTTCGCCCGCAAGTCTTCGAGTCTGTGTGACATCGAACATAAATCATCCACGCGTGAAATCCAGGTCTTCTAGAGTCTTCTTATCGGTGGTTCAGCGTATTCTACACTTCTCACTCCAGATGCACAGTCTGATGCATAATTCAGTACACCACAATTCAGAATATCATCGGTGACAGTAGTGGGCAGCCAGCTTGTCATACTCCTATATTCACTTCTAAAGCCTCGCTGAGTTTCTCAATGTGGATCATCTGACACGAGGCTTTCTTGCAAATTTGTTTATTAAGGTTGGTAAGGACTTGGGCATTGCACACCTGTTGTTAATACGGTTTCCAAATTACTTCTCAGTCAACGCTGTCTGTCGACGTCATTTTCGAAGTCGGTTGAGTTGAGGTGGAGAGGGGTTTGACTGCCATCCTATGCTTTGTTTGGTGATGACGATGCAGAGAGCTGCAATTTGATCACCACATAATACGCCTTTCCTAAATACAGCTTGTTCCGGTAGATGGTGGAGTTCTGTGTCGACTGCATGTTTTATTCTCTCCAGGATGAGGCGACTCAGAGCCTCTCGGCTCATGATGAGTTCTCTTCCTGTGTCATCTACTCCTGTTTTGGCTTGCATTCCTGTCGCCCATAAGGATGTTGATGTCACCATTTGGGACGTTGTCCATTACTGTTTGAAGTTGTCTGTAAAAATTCTCCTTCTTTTCTTTTTCTTCTTTGTTTGTAGCACTGTGTGTAGCATTGGGTAATTGTAGCCTTCCTTCTTTTGGAGTTGAATCTTGCTTGCTGTCTTGATTCTGGATGAAGGGGTTTGGTTCCCACTGCATTAGAGCTTTGGCAGCCACTGGTGACATCATGACAGCCACTTACTACCTCAGTGTGCTCGTGGTTGTCGTCTGGGTGACTAGACCGGGGTGGATTACTTACTCTCTCGTTGACAGCTTTGACAGTCCACATCCATTCCATCTGCTGTCACAGATTACCAGCACTTTTATACCATTTCTTCACATTTCTTTGGCTGCCTGGGCAGGTTTCCCAGTCAGCCTCGTACATTTTACATACATTCCACGTCCAAATTAATATTCTTGCTTTCATTGAGAGAACACATATCGGTTGGCTGACTGGCTTCTTTGAAGGCAGCCTTTCACCAGTACACTGTGTCATTTTACCTCTCCGGTTCCAGTGAAGAATAAATTTCTACTTGAATTTTCTGTATTTTTTAATTATACTTTGTGCGCTAAAGTTTCTCTAGCAGTTTGCAAGGTTTAGTGATGTGGGGTTGCTAGCCCCATGCCCAACCGTCTCGGTATTGGGACCGGCTGAAAAACTAGGAGCTAATTTACTAGACGAGGTTAACATTTCACTAAAATAATCGTGAATTATCCTAAGCGATAGTATGAAGAAATGACAAACTGACTTTTCGTTTACCACCTCATCAGCTAATCGGGGATGTTTCATCTTATCACACATCTTCTTTGAAGGACAGAGACAGACGGTGATTAAAGTATAGAAAAAGAAGTTTAACCTTTAAACTTTTATTAAACCTAATTGTTGAGTGGCAGTTTAGTAACTGAAAAACTACCAGTGCGTATCCTGTAGAAACTCGGATTTTTTAAATTTCGTATTGTACAATCCTCAAACCTACTGAACATTCAGTGTCCTGTTTAAAATGATTTAACAGTCGTTGTGTAAGTAATTAAAAAGATGAAGTCGGAAAACGTTCTTATAACGACTGGAAATAATGGACTCTCCTCTTAGGAACCAATGTATTGCATGATAAAATGAATTCACTTCATAAACAACAGCCATCAGAAAAAATAAGCCCCTTTAGTAGAAAATGCTTGAACTCCAGTTATATTAGCAAAATTTGGAAACGGTTCACTTAAAACATAAACGCCCCCAACCGACATGTGAAAAATACCACAGTCAAAACAAGCCAACATTTATCTAAACAATTTTTGCTTTCACAAACTTTCAAGGAAATGTTACACAGTTTTATTTAAAAATTGATAATAATAATAATGGTAAAGCTTTATTTAAGACAGTATGCAAATAAACGGTACAAAAATTTTCAGCGTATTCAGTTCCAAAGTACTTTTTTCTTCACACAGGATTCACATGTAAAGTAATAATCTGGAGTATATCTTTATTTCGTTGAGGAATTGTACAGCGTTTACTTGGGAGCAAGTTAAATCATCGCGCAAGTCTATGTATAGGTCATTTGATATAAATGGACGATTAAAACAATGATAAATCCAGATGAAATTAAGCATTTTGGAGGAAAGTAATTTCGGTAGCCCAGTGATTTAAGCAGGCCGCCTTAATTGATTCTAAAAATTGATTCTATTCAAACATTTTATAGGTGACATTTCAAAGACAATAAATCTTAACTCTGCTACAATAAGTTGACATGGCAATGTACCATTTATAGGCATCCATATGACATTTTGTCTATGCTGTTCAGTGAGAGCTGCACCTTTTAACCAAGAGCAACTCACCTCTCTAATTTGATAAACACTGAAATGATTATATATGTTTCATTTTTCTGAATATATTTCAGAAATAGAATTAAAGGTCATCCAGTAAATGGACCAGGATTTTGTCCACCTTAAAACTAACGAACTGGACAATTCTCTTTTACTTCATTTGACTATTATACTAATCGTGGTGTTAACTTTCTACATTCTTTACCAATGGGAAACAGTGTGAATAAACTTTTCTTATATCCACTCTGCATAAATCCATTTTCTGTGTCTAATTAATTGATGCATCATTCTGATTTATATTCAAATATTGTGTTTGTAAGTTGTTAACTGATTTCATACTAGATTCTGTTACAAAATGAAATCACAGAAAGATTGAGCGAAGAAATATTTACTTTTCAATTAGATCTTCATCTCTGGTTCTACTCTAATATACACGTATAGCATTTTTATTATAATACACAAGAATTTACCATTCAAGTGGTGATTTGTTTGTTAACAATAATTAGTCAGTGTCAAAATGTCAATGGGTTGATAATTAATGAAGCAAATTAATACACACAACTAAAAGATGGAAATGGTTACAAAAGTGGATTGCATAATGCATATTTTGGAAAAATGAAGAGTAATTAAGGAGTAGGCGTGTGCACAGGTTGATTACGTAACAGATTTTTAAAGAAAATAAAACGAATTGGATAATGATAATTTGTAACTAAAGTTGAAATGGTCATAAGAATAAAATAATTTTACAAGGATAACACGTAATTAAAGATGAAGTAGTCAGAAAAATAAAATAATTTGCACAATTATAATTTTTAAAACGTTTAGGGGACCAGGGGGGACCGGACTACTTCGCCCCCCTCAATTTCTGTGATACAATGTTGTCAGAAATGTTGTCATTATAACGTCATCACTAATCGATTTATACTAAGGTGTAATAGAAGTTATTTTGTAAAATAAGTTAGTCTCATTATATCCAACTCGTACTTCAACACACTTCACATTAACTTAGAAAGATCATTGACTCTTAAAGAGTGAGAAACTGCATTTACTTTGTTGACTATCTAATAATTTTGTGTGTACTTTGTAACACACTGAATTGCTTCACGCTCAAATATGAGTTTACCAACTTACTTCGAAGTGTTGTTTTGCTATACTTCAAAAGCATAGACATATTTTACGAGATACTTGAATGTGCACTTCGCACACATCGAATTAAAGCACCACGAATTGTTTGTTTCTGAAGAGCATTTGTGAATACTTTGAGTGAGTAGAAGCTGTACATAAATCAATGGTTATTCAAAGCATGAGATGTCAGAGTGAGAATAACAAATGTAGCAGGATAGGAGAAAACATTATTTCAGTTTTATTATTCCATAGATTGTTTCCAACTGTTTACAATCTTAATAATATTAAGATATATAAATTACAAAAGCAAAGGTTACAAAGTACACCTTTGTCGTGTTGACACTGAGCTGTTCACTTAAACTTTGGTTACCTTAATTCCAGAAGGGTTTAAGTGGCTGATTTATTAACTGTCATAGGATTGAATAATTATATAAAAATTAGAACGAATATTCCTAATGAAGAGGAGGATAGAGCTCAACATTTTGGATAGAAATAAACTTTTCTAAATGATATCAGATCATGACGCAGTTTGGAATCAATCAACATCTCTAAAGCGACGCTGGAAACTATGTAGATAGAAGAAATTTGGTAGATGATAACTAGCAAGAGAATCCAGGATGGGTATCTTGTCTTATTTGGGACTCGTTATCTGTATGCACCAGTAGGTGATGGCTCGAATCCAGTACCCATAGTTTCAAATGCTTAAGCCTTATGTACTGGACCACTTGAACCACGAGATCCACCTCTTGTGCAACGGGTCTTACTAATTATTTTATTTAATTTGAACTTACCCGTTGACTGATTCGACTGAAGTATTTGACCTCTCTTGACATGAAAAATGAGCAGATGTGGAATCCAAGTTGCGCATTTCGTCCTATTTCTTAGCCGATAAGTCAACAGTAGCCGAGCACTTCGGTTCAATCAATAAAAATAATGATAAAGCTTCATTTCAGACAGTATGCGAACACAGTACAGAAATTCTTAGCGTATTTAGTTTCAAATTATTTTCTCTTCATATGGGATTTACATATGAAGTGATAATCTGGAGCATATCATGTGATGCCGTGGTGTTACAGATGAACAAAGAACCAATTCTATAAGTTTTTTCTTCCTCTCCTTGAAGAATTCCACAGCGTTTAGTTAGAAGGTAATCAAATAAGCATGGGAGTTCATGTAGTGGTCATTTGATATAACTGAATGATTAAAACAGGGGGAAATTAACTAGAGTTTAGTCATTTTGATAAACGAAAATCCTGGTAGCTCAATGATTTAAGCAGACTGTCTGGCCTAAATAATAACTAAATGGAGTCAGTCAATAAAATAGGTTACGTAAGCGCGAGGAACATTTTAGAAGACAAAATGACTGAACAAAGAATATTCTTCTCAATAATTTCCTCATTAGATTTTTAAGTTGTGTAAAAACTGAGTAATTAATATTATTGGATATGTGATAATATTCATGAATATCACACTGAATTGAATATCAGCTGAAATGTAGAAGAAAATTTATGAGACTACTAAAGATAGTCAGAACAGTAGTAACTAGCAAAAGGTTAAGAGAGAACGGAAAATAGTCAGATTTTTATAATCAAGTATTGATATCCGAGGTTAGAATAGGGAGTGTGCAAATTTCTTCTATAGATACAGATTCGTCTTATTTAGGTGGACACCGATGTTTTTAGGTAGAAGTCGGACTCATATGTCAAGATTAAGATTAGTCGGAATGCAGTACAAACTCTGAATATCTTGTTAAAATCACCTTTACGTTCAGTCAGTAGGATGTGAGCTAAACCAGAGATAAGTAAGTACTTGTTTGTCTTATAAATAATCAACATTTTTAACACAATAAATTAGACTGACTGTTTATAACTTGGACCACCAAAAACTTTCATCACTATGTTGCGTGTCGTTTCTATCGTTTCCTTTGTTTTAATCGACTAGAACATACAATTACGTGCACTCACTACCAAGTTTCAACCTAGCCTAGTTTATTAGCTCACTAGTTTTCTAGGCAGTCACAGGCCTAAATAAAGCGGGACGGCTGGGCGTAGGGCCAGCAACCCCACACTACTGCTGGAGAAACTTCAACGCACAAAAAATATTTTGCAAAAACAGAAAATTCAAAGAATTTATTCTTCGCTGAGATTAGAGAGGCAAAATGACACAATTGGCTGATGAAACCCTGTCTTCAGAAAGCCAGTCAGCTACTCGATGCTTCTTCTCACGATGAATGCACTGAAAGGACTGGCGATGTGGACTGTAAGTATATTGTATAAAGCGGACCAGAGAAGCTACCCAGGTAACCAAAGAAATAAGAAGATATGATACGAAATCCTAGATCTTGAATGCAACCAAGCTAGGGAATACCAGCCGGAAAGGTGATAGGGACAGATGGAATTCCCCTCTTCCCGTAGCGCTGAAAACAGACTCAAGGACTGTGGCAGATTTACTCACGCCATTATTGCAAAACGTTTGGAAGATAAGAAAGTGAGGTGCCTGCAGATCGAGAGAAAGCCTGGTTACCACGTCAAGCTAGCAAAGAAGGGCGATTTACGCTTTCCTCTTCAGGAAGTGCCGTGAAATAATGTTCCTGTCCACGCCAAGTAAAATACTGAACCGCGTCATTCTGGAGAGAATAAAGCATGCAATGGACACATAACTCCGTCACTCGAAACAAGCTGGATTAAGGAAAGGCAAATCATGTGGTGATCGAGTTGCAGCTCTCTGCATCGTCATCACCGAACAAAGCATAGGATGGCATTCAAACCCCTCTCCACCTCAACTCAACCGACTTCGAAAATGACGTCGACAGACAGCGTTGACTGAGAAGTAATTTGGAAACTGTATTAACAACACGGTGTGCAATGCCCAAGTCTTTACCAACCTCATTCAACAATTACACGACAACGCCACGTATCAGGTGATACACAACGCAAAATCCAGTGAGGCGTTCGAAGTGCATACAGGAGTATGACAAGCTGGCTGGCCACTACTATCACCGATGATATTCTGAATTGTGGTGTACTGAATTATGCATCAGACTGTGCATTTGGAGTGAGAAGAGTGGAATACGCTGAACCACCGATAAGAAGTCTCTAGAAGACCTGGATTTCGCGTGTGGATGATTTATGTTTGATGACACACAAAGAAGAACATTTACAGGCGAAGACCAAGAAACTGTCTGAAAAGGCTGGCAGAGAAGACAGTACTGCAGGTGAACATAGAGAAGACGAAGGTGATGAAGATGACCGACGAACAGTAGCATCAAAAACAACAACAACAACAACCAGCATCAATCACCATTGATGGAATATATTTGACGGAGGTTACTTCCTTCACCTGTTTGGGAAACACGGTTTCAGCCTCATTTGGCGGAATGGGTGAAAGTGTCAAAGCTGGCCAGAATCGCAGAGACAAGGTATGCCTTCATCAGCAGGAAAGCTGTTTGGAAATATCCTGCATTCAATTCACAAAATTCGCATTTTCAACACAAGTATGAAGTTAGTCAGTGCTTGTATACGGGTGAGAAACTTGGCGTATCAAGTAAGGCATCTCCAACAACAGCTGTCTTTGCGCTTTACTTAAGATCAATTGCCCTGCCGGCCGGCCGGAAGCAGTTAGTGAGAATAAACTCTGACAATGAACGAACCAACCAAGAGCCGATTGCTCAACAAATATGCAAGAGAAAATGGAGATCGATCGGAAATGTATTGAGATCATCAAATGATATTGTGCTCCGGGCCATTGCTCGACTGGTATCTCAAAGGGAGGGTACGAGTGGGTTTTCGGTGCGAGGGTGACTTGGGGGAGATAGTGTGGAGAGGAGGTAATGAGAGACTATGTGAAGTCTTGGAGCTAACCAGCTGAAGAGGATGAAAAAACAGAAGAAGAAGGTGGAGATGTGTTGTTGAAGTCCTATGTTCCACTGGAATCCAATAAAATAATAAGTAATGAAATAACTCTTGAACTCTCCGTAATGTTGTAGAAAACATAAGTAAGACCTCAATACAGAGTGCAGAGTATTATTGCTTCCAACGTTTTAGAATGGATGCTAACCTTCTGGAAAAAGTTCAAGGTTGGGCGACAAAATGGGTGGTAGGTCTTCCAAAAGAAATGTGTGGTGAATGGCTGAAATAATTAGGTCTTTTCATACTTAAATACTACCGGTTTAGAAGTGACTTAATTATTACCTGTTATATTAAAAATGAGTAGAATCATTCAAACAAAGGTATTCTGCCACTAAATACGTCTGGCTTTCCTCATGGC